CTTGATTTGCATCTAAGCTACTTTTAAATTTTGAGTACTTACAAACAGAAAGGTGAGAACACGTATCAGTTGTTAAAGACTCCACAGTGGTTGTGCTACTACTAATATAAATTAGGCAAATATTTCCTCAGGCCACATTTCTTTTACCACCTCTACAGTACCCTGCAAACTTTATTAGGTGAATGGCTTCAGAGAGAGATCAAAGTGTTGTACTATTACTTCTACATGTATATTTTCAGGAAGTGAATGAGCAAGTTGGTTGCGGTTTTGTCCCTGGACCTCGGGGGCTAAGAGGGAGAAGAAAGAAAAACAAAGCAGTATCAGCTCCTTTGCTCACAGGATGGCGGGTAAACCACAAACTCCAAACACTTTAACCTAAACTCACAGAAGAGACAGCAGACTGAAAAATGTATAGCTGGTTTCAAGCAAATGTGACTGATGACCTCAGCCCCCTTTCTGCACATCCAGCTGCCTTTCCTAGCTTCTCCTTAGCTGGCATCACAGCTTGTTCCATTGCAAATCTGGGAATATCGAGAACAGGGTATGACGGCCTGAAATAAACGGAATACAAACAGAAGGTGCTCTTGTAGTGATTGTGTTATTCATTTGTACATTTAATGAAAAACTCCATTTGTTCAGTCATAGCTGCTGAAGATTGACAGACTGCCACAAAACCCAGAATATCCACCCAGATCACCACAAAATGCACTGGATCGCATCCAGAGGCTCTGCCAGCATGATGCCGATTTGTAAGAAACACTGTTCAAATCTGCACATACATAAGATTTTTGTTTAGCAAAGACCTGGCTATTGCAGGCTTCTGGGATGTCTTAGTTTAAACTATTTTCCCCAATATTAAACCGTTACTTTTTTTTTTTTAAAAAAAAAAAAAAAGACAAAACCAGCAAGAAATTATATGGCAACAGGTTCAAGGTGTGGTTTGCTTAAATTAGTGACAGGTATGTGGAAAGATAATTATTATATTACATTTCAGTCCACTGCAAACAGTAAAAATATCAAAGGTCCCAAAATTCAGTCTGAATAAGATGTATTACTAAAAGCACCACCCCTATCCTAACGGGCTAAGACATTGCATCTAACAAAATTACCCACCCAATTATTAAAGAAACAGCAATGTTACTAAGAACAGCTCACTAAATATATAGAACTACATTATCTAGGTAGAGTTTATTGCAAAAACCAGGAAAGAGACAGCAAACTAGAAGTCTGTCTTCCATTTCAGAGTTGTATCACTTGTTCAAGTTTCAATCAGTCACACACACACGCAGCCTGTACACAGAAAGTCGCTAACACAGTTGAGTTCCCACAGTCTCACAAGAAACCTTAAAACGTTTCAGTAAAAAGTTAAAATGATATCTTTTACCACAAGGACTATAAAATCCCCCCCTCACTACCCTTGAATTTCTAAGTTTTGGATTCTAAAAACCATACATAAAAAGGAAGAGTTATTTCAGTAGCACAAAGACTACCTTAAATATATCAAAGTAAGTCTAAGGAGAGTTAATGCAACTGAAAAAAAAATGAAATGAAATGAAGACCTGCATCGCACACAGTCAGCGTTTTCATCAACGCTGTTGATAAGCTCTAAGTCCCTAAATGTAGTAGAGCATTGGTTGGTTTTGATTAACTTTTAATTATGAAGTTACATAAAAAAAAAAACCCAGTTGTAACAATTCTTTTGAGCTGCTAGTTTCATGAAGAAAAAAGTCCCTTTCAAAATTTCAATAAATATGCCGACATGTAACGTTAGTTGAGGTTGTCATGCAAGACAAGTTACATAACCAAGACCAACTCAATCTTTATAATAAAGGCAACTTGCATTCAAAAATTAACTTTACCCTTACAATTTTATTCAAAGGGTAAACATGAATTAACCCAGCTGTTTACCTGAATTACAAAAGTAACATGATTCAATATGAAAATAAGAAACTGTCTACAAATCTCTGACAGTAATAAATTGCAATATACAATGCATACAGGAGTTATACAGAGCAACAAACTCTTGTACAAAACAAAAATACTTTTAATACCTTTAAAATCCAATTTTTTTTTTTTTAAAATCATCATGAAAAAGATTTGAGTCAGAACTCACACCTCAATTAGTCAAGCTTCAGGTAGCTACATTACAGCTATTTAATATACAAAGAGATAAATCTCTTCACCAGTCATTAAAACTGCCTCTTCGTTAGAGTTGCACAGCTTTTCCGTCTCATGTTCCCAGATACAAAGTTTTCTTCAAATCATGAGAACTGAATTTGTTGAACTCCAGAGATCTAGAGAAAGAAAATGCACACTTACATTCAAATGCACCTTTTCTGAAACTGCATCGCAGCTAGAAGCTTTGAATTGTCCCAGTGTTGGAATGTTACGTCATCCACCACCAAAGGACTAAATAAAATTAATTCTCATCTTTCAGAACAGGGCAGCTGAATTAGCGTTTGAATTTTAGCAGCAGAAGGGAGAGTAGGGGATGGGATACAGTACCTGTTGATACGATGTTGTGTAGACCATAACATTCTGCTGTTGGCCGTCTGTAGTTATCAAGCCTGCTGGCAACTGGTTAGCTGAAAGAAAGAGCATTTTAAGAAAGTTAGATGGGAACTGAAGGATACACAAAGCCTTGTTTGATGTGTCTGCCACCATTAAATAACCTTTAATTGTGGGCTACTCAAGGACTATGGAGCCATTCCTCTCCTGACAGTGACCATCCTACACTATGTAGAGACACGCTTGCTATTGAGTGTTACAAGTAAACAAGTTTATTCCCATTAAGAAGAAACACTTAAGAAACAAAATGCAACTTAATTTTGCATCAGATAATCTAAAAGTAAGACCACACCTTGTTCTTCCTCGGTACATGTCTGAGGCAGAACATACACAGCTGTACACTAGCAAACAGAGATTGCTTTTTCAGTGGTCAGGATGGCAATCTCCAGCATTCAATATCCCAAGAAACCTGGAGAACTCTGTTTTGCTTAGACGTAAGGTTAGCACTTGAGCATACAGATGTGTGAGGAACCCAATGAAATTGTTGTGCTTCTTTATAAAACAGGATCCATCAGGGACTCCGTAATGTGGAAGCCCCATGGAAGGCAGCAGAGATAACAGAGACAGGCAATGCCAAAAAAAAAAGGCACTGCCAGAGCCTGACATTACGCTGGTTGACTTCAGCACGCCCTTCAGGGTCCGCACAAAAGCTCCTAATTTCATAGAGGAGAGAGGAGGCCAATGAACAGAGTAAAAAGTACTTCTGAGATTTAGAGAGCAAACACAGGGAGTGATGCTCCGAGATGAACCTTTACAATAACACGTATGTTAAGCTCTGTGACACTCAGAGTAGGTATGTTACAACTGCTACTTGGAAGCAAAGCAGCAAAAGTCTTAAGTTGTAATTTGAGTCACTGTAGCATAATATTCTCCGCTAGGAGACGACAAATGGGGCTTTCTTCTTTCTGAAGTATGACTGTTACTATGTATAAGACAGACATATAACCCATAAAAAAATTCTGAAAACACAGTATTATCCTAACAGCTTTCATTTGAAAGCTGACACTTGGGGGGGATTAAATTGGGGTTTTGGTTGGTTTTTTTTTTCCCCCCACCTTCACCGTACTAATTTTCAAATACTTAAGTTGCGAGTTAAGAGATGCGTTAAGATCATAGCGAGAAGCGGCTCTGGCAGGTCCAAAATTTTCCTGCCCTTCGATGCGCATGTTCCACATCCAACAGAGTTTAATGCCAAGCCTCTGACCCAGCCCTGGCATTAGGCTAAGACAAAGAGCTAAGGGTTACGCCACACTAGCACAGCTATTACCGCTACTCCTGCAGCAAGACCATCACTCTGAATAGATCTATAGCTGCCCCTATGGGGAGAAATACTTGCAGCACGTGACACGATCAACTGTTTTACTGAAAATTTTCTTCCTCCTTCTACTACTGCAACATCTCCTTTGCATGCTGCCAAGACTTAATGTTCTCTTCCAAAGTTGCTCTTTTCAAGCCACAGCAAATTAAGGCTTATTTCTTAGAGCACACTGAGGCTCCCAGGCCTGAGATATTTGAACAACTGACTAGGAGCAAATCTTCAGCCTTCTGCCATTTAACAGGGACCATATCAAATTTGGGAAGGGGACAGAGGATCCATAGATGGAAGGGGATTCCTTTTTTCTGGTTTCCATTTTCTGGTGGGCATTGTACTCGGGCTAAGCAAAGCATGAGCATCCAGAAAAGCTTTTTGTGAATTTGCCTCTTTGCCCATACAAAACAAGATACCGGATGCAGACACAATCTTAAGTTTCCAGTTTAAATGCTTGAAGTGCAAATCAGAATATATACAAAATAAAGTTTTTAGAACAATTTCTACATACTGATTTGGCAAGCTTCCAAGCTGGACAGACTCCTGACAGCTGCAATCCAGAAACCATTAGCAACATACTGTAAGTAAGTTGGGCCTATAGTTGTGCTAGTGTTTTACTACTTCTGAACCAGAGCTATTACATGAGTGAGTATGGACAAGAGCTTACTATTTGCATTGCCTAATCTTTAATTATAAATTTACAATATTAATGTTTTTTAAAAAATTAAAGTTTTCTATAAGTCCCCTGCAATATTTAGGTTTAGATTCTTAATTTCCAGCCAGTTTTATGAGCTTATCTTCCAGGCTAGTAGAGACCTGAAGAATGTGTACTGGTTTACATAGCCAAAGTCATCATACTGGAGCGAAGCATGTTTCAGACCCCAAATAGGTAATTTCAGTCCTCAGGCTTTGAATTTTAGTCCTCAGGCTTTGAATTTTTTCTAGTTCAGTAGTTTACCAGTGATTTTAAGCAGAAGATTTATCAGATATTTGAAAAACTAAATCTCATCAGCAGATATGACTAGGGCTGTGCCTCCTAATTCTTCTTGCATCAGCTTCAAGATTACCAGCCCATAACACTTAAAAGCCAAGGTGAAGACTACATACAAGAATCCAGCATCAACAAAACTAACACAAAGACCCAACAAGTGTCAGGCTTTAATTCACAGTATAAGGAAGAAAAACTACAGTGAATGCATATGATGCTCCTTGCCCTACACCTTGTAGTTGCCAATCTCTGCATTCTTTTGAATATAAGAAATACTAAGTGGTTTAGAATTATACGAAGATGATGTTCTTCTCTGGCTCATTTCTCAAAGACGAGCTCCTCAAGTCATCAAGTGGAGTTTATTTTGCTTTTTCCCCAACAGTCTTGCAAGTAGAACCAATGTGGCCTAAGTATGTAGCTACTGGGGGGGAAAAAAGAAAGAAAAAAAAAAGTTTGCACCTTTCATTACAATCTGTGTTTAAGTATAGAGAAAAAATACTGGCACTAATGTATGCATTTAAAAATCTTCCACAGTTGACATTAGCTATTACTAGAGTGTCACCATTTATCACTATATTACTTCCTTCTGACCATAAATTCTACTGACTGGGAGGAGTTTATCTGAGCACAAGTTATCCTCCAGCTATCTCAAATGAAAATCTCAATGGATCACAGGTATAACATGTGGCCAGTCCAGGATGTATTCCTCAAGTAAGCACTTCCTTTAGACATCAGAATTCTGTTTTTAGAAAAGCCACAGTAATAATACAATAAATTAAAAAGTATTACTTACTAAATGCTTCCTCTGTGAGCTCCTCACTTAGACCATCTCCAGTTGTAACTGTTCCCCCAATTCCCTTTTCTCCTTTCATTGCCTGGAAGGGGGGGGGGGCGGGGAGAGGCAGAAGAAAGAAAGAAGTGTATTAGAGTACAGTTGGCTTGAGATTGTTTCAAAACCCCAGGAGCTGTAGCCAAGGTTTGGAACTTGCAGAAGAGTCACTGTGCAGCAGCGGAGTTTGAAATCCAAGACCTGTAAAACTCCATTGGATTTAAGAATGCACATAGTACAAAAATATATGAAGGGTGTTTTTCATCTTAGCCATACTCATCAGAAACAAAAACTCTGCAAACTAGGACTGTGTAGTTCTAACAAAGGCTTTCACCTTCTGCAGAGTCAAAGGTCTGCAGTAATCCAGAAGGAGCAGTTAAGAGCATTTACAAGAAATCACAGAATCTCAGAACTACCAAGAATGAGCAACATTTGCTTACCAACCACATGCAAGTGCCATCATCATACAACTAAGAGTTGACATTTAAAACCAAGATACCAAGATTTCTTTTCCCACAACAAGGACTACAGCCAGAAAGGATATCGGCACAGAAAGCCAAAGCTCCCAGTCATCTGCATGCCATTTCACAAGTACGAAGTTTGATGCTCTATGCTATTACGTAAGAACATCTGAGAAAATAACATAGGTATAAAAAGTATTCTCTGCAACTGTCTGATGTAGACTAAATACTAACCTACAAACCAGAAATATTTCACTAGATACGGTACCCTGAAGACAGAACTAGCTGGAATGGAGGTTTAAAACTGATAAGCAAAACCATCCAATCCATCCATCCAATTAAAACCCAATCCCACTACTCTGCTACCACAGGATATATACCTGCAAAAACGGTCACTTCAGAATGAAAGTAGCATAGACCTTCTTCAGACTTCTCCAGAAGTACTGAAACTAGTTAGGCACCAGCATTTTTAATTAAAGCACATACAGCACTTTGACCGCACGTGCAACTGCTACACAGAACTGAAAAAGATAGCACAGAGCAGTACTTCAACTTTTAGATTACACCTCCTGTTATTCAGTTATCACAGCAAATGACCTTCTGGGAAGGGGAAGCTTCAAGTGCTATCAACAAATTAAATATCATTAGTGAGTCTGACCCCATTAATTAAAAACAAAAACCTTAAGATTTACAGAACAAAAAGTCTGAAGAGCATCTCTATCTACAGCACTGCCAATTTAGACATACCTGCTTCACTCATGCCAGTAAAAATCAAGCAGCCATGCCAACAGAGGGATCCGCATTTTAAAAAGAATAAATTAATTTGAGGTTTTTTTCCCCAGCATTATTTTAACCCTCAACAACTACTTTATTCAGGACTATGAGGAAGGGAGGTCACTGGATAAAAATACTTTTGATTTTTTTGGTTAAATCTGGTATTCTGACATCAAAGAACACCAAAGTAAAGAAGCAAGCAAGTATAATTCTCTTCGGTCTCCAGACAGGAGGCGGGGGAACGGGGGACCAGAACAAAAAACACCAAGCAGAAATAGCTTCTTTTTCAAAAAGTTTCAATTGCTGCAAGGAAAAAAAAAAGTGACTTTCTGCTAGAGAAGGGATAAATTAAAACTGCTTGGATCACATACCTAGCATGTACTATGTATCAAAACCAAACTGAGGGACAGGCTAAAAGACAGATTAAAAAAACCCCAAAAACATTGAAGCAGATAGCTTTCCATGTGAATCATTATTCTGACATGAGAAAAACAACTTTTTCTTTTGCAGATCTGAAGCCCAGACAAACAATAGGCATTAGGGTAGTTCCTCAGAGGATGCAGTCTAGTACAGTTTTATTGATTGAACCCAAAGACTGAATTAAGTATTCTTAATAGGCACCTTTAAAGAACACAGTGATTTACTACCAGCAATATATTAGAGAATTTATTCAGCTGAAAGCTTGAACGACTTTGAATCAGCAAGTCTAATCAAAATGCTTACTTACTCCTTTTTCTCTTGAGATCCTCTGGAATGTTTTTAAACATTACATTAGTCCCTGACAATAGCTGTGAGATACTGTGCAAGTTAGCCATTATACAATTACTATGACAGGGAGCTAAGGATAAATACAACCAGGTTAAATCAATGAAGAAATACTGAAGAATATACCAACCTCTCTGAATTTTTGGAGGTATAACTTCAAAGGTTCAACATAACTATCAAACCCCAAGGTAGACATGGCAAAGAGAATATCCTCTCCATTGATGGTCTTTCTTTTCTCTTGGTGACACCTCTCACTTGCTTCTGACGTTATAAAGCTGATGAATTCACTTACACACTCTTGCACACATTCCTTTGCGTCCTTAGCAATCTAGTAAGGAAAAAGTATAATAAAATCATTAATCAAGATGCAAGAAGATTAAAAACACCCAAAAGAATACATTAGACAATAAAGGAAACATCCCAAAACCTGATGATAATACCCATTCAGTCAACACCTGTATGTGAGGGAACCACTGGATGTCATCACTGCTCTATGTAAGCACAGCTGCAACATGATTTTAACTTAACTTTTACTATTTCAAGCAGCACAGCCAACTGCCAGGATGTCCTGAAGTCATAACTATGTTCTGTACAAGCTTCTACACACAGATGCATCTCAGTATTGCTTGCTTTGCTTACCTACGTCTTCTCTTTGAACTTGTTCATTACAATGTCACAGCCTACTTCCATCTTCCTTTTAATAGACCCAGCAGTTCCAACTCCACTGCAGTACATTCCCACAAACTCGGCAGTGACAAGTGCTTTTATCCTGACCAGATTCAGCGACTAGAATATATGCCTAGCAGCAAGCCTCTCTAATGCTTTAATACTCTGGTATAAATCTTCCAAATGAGAATTCAAATGAAGAAATATATGCTCCTGGCAAGAATGAAATAAGTAAATTTGATTATGGTTTTCAGCTGGACAAAAGTAATTTACCTGACTTAAAATAACAGCAAGCATTACTCATGATTATTTGGGAAGCTGACAGGAGCCAACTGAAAGATTATAATAATTAAGATTCTTGTTCTTCACACGAGAAGAACCTATTTGTATTTAAAAAAAAAAAATTAAGCAGCAACCGTATGTAGAATCTTCACTAGTTCCTCTGATATTTTCAGACACATAGGGTGAGATTTTCAGAAGTACTCAGCAGCCAGCAGCTTCCCCTGCAGTTTTTCACAAAAACCTCTCTGATTTTTCAAGATAGTTTGACATCCCATATGCTAAATTCTTGAGAAAAATCTCATCTTGATCACTAAAAATTTATGACAATATGGACTAGTGAAGAGATTTTCGCAGCAAAGATATAAATGTAACATCCAGATCTCCAGAAAGCCCTGAACACTATGAAAAGTACAAGCAGATGCAAGTAAATTATGTCTTGCTTCTATTTACAGTGATCTCAAAAAAAGAAAAAAAAAAAAAGAAATCAGCTTTAGCTAGAGGAAATAGAGAGGGGCAGGAATTGTAGTGGAATACAATAAAGAAGCAGCAAGCAATAGGAGCCCTGCAAAGGTTTAAGATAAACAGGTAGAATGGTCAAAAAATCACTGGCTCTGCAGAATGGATTAAAAAGTCTACTTTTAGAAGATAGAAATAAAATAAGTCTTTTGATATCTGGCCTTATCTGCTACATGGTATAAGGCAGGCTTCTTAGGTCATTTTAGCATCTGGACATGTAAAGATTCATTCAATGGAAGACTAACCAGGATGAGGAATGGATTTTTTATTTCATCCAAAATGGTTCACTTATTCCAAATTTTATACAACTCAATAAAAGCAGGTTAAATTTCGTAAGAGAGAGTCGCATAGAAAATATTCTTACTGATACAGGATTGTCACCAAGTCTGACCCATTATGGCAATTTCAGAGAACACAGAATAAGAAAGCTCTGAAAGCCTTACGAAGAGCACTGTTGTGGATACTCTAATTACAGCAGTTACTAAAAGCTTTCAGAAACCTAAGAAAAATTAACTTGGTCTCAACCACCTCCTGCTCAGGTTTTCTGGGGGGTTTTCAGGGTTGTTTTTTTTTTTTTTCTTTAAATGCTGTTCTCCAATAAATCAGAATCATTTGGAAAAATGTATTGTTCTACCAGCTCAAGTTCACTCAGAGGAAGGAATAAAACTCATTAATACGCTTTCTTTACCAGACAAGGGTATTACCTTTCCTGTTTGGGGTATGGCATTTTTCATTATCCTTGCCACATTTGCAATTGGAAGATATATATCTTGTTCTCTAAAACTCTCTTTTGAGCCATTTGTATCTTCGTGATCATTCATGCTGTCCTCGGTGTCTAATAAAATAAAGAAAAGTTAACAGAAACTGTATTTGATAGACAGCAGGCAATAATCAAGTCAAGTTTAAAATCTTACACTGAAGGATGAAGAACTTTGAAAGCTTAGTGTATTAACATTGTAGAAATAATTAAAAAATAGATGTTAACACCAGTGTACCTTTATGGGTGTTCAATATCATCTTTACATTATGCACAGAAATGTATGTGGCTGCCGAACACCAAGCATTCTTAATGTCATGTCAAAATACAAATTGTTTCCCAGAACATCAATTTTTTGTCATCACCCCAAAGGACTCGGTGCCGATACTGACAAATCCAAGCACCACCTTCCAACTGCAGAAAAAATGCTTTATAAGTGAGGCATTATGAATACAAACAATTGCAAATTTTTAGCTTGAGAGAAAATAGCAGAGAACTATAGAAGAACTGGAAGGAAACATATATATATGTACACACACACAGAGAAATAGTAGTATTTACTGTAACATTTCTTACCATCATGAGGCTGTATCACATAGTGACTGCCACCAATGTAATCTCCAGCAATTCCTAACTGAGAAGCATCCGTTGTGGAGCTATCACCATCCATCTATAACCAGAAGGAGGAAAACTTTCAGCTTGGTTTGTTATACCGTTAAGGGCAGCTACTGCTGAAAAACAGCACTTAAATCAACTTAGAACTATGAGACCAATTTATACAAAGTATAAACATTTTGTCATTTGAGAACAGTATCCCCTCTCTCATTACTGAGCTTTACTGACAGTGGAAATAGTGAAGCTGTTTTGTGAGGCTTCACCAAAAATTCAGCCGGAGACACAGGCCGTGCACAGAAACATTTGGTTCATGCAGCACCTAGAGCAACCTTGTGTCATTCCCATGAGAGTCTGACCAGGACAGGTCAAGGCATCTGTTTCTCTGAACAACCCTCAAAACCCAACACCAGCCCACTGCTCACTGAATGCTTCACCCACAACTGTTACACACAGTGCATCCTTCACCCACCACTACCCTCCACCCAAACAGCTTTTGTCAAGACCTCAGGACCAGCTCTGCATCCTCATCTTCCCTGAGGCACCAGTCACTCCTAGGTGCCTGAGTCATGTTTTCCTTTGCTTTCCCTGGTCCTGCCCCGCCTCGCTCCTCTGGGCATCCTTCAGTGCTCCTCTCGCAATGTTCCTATGTGGTTGCCAACAAGACGTCTTCTCCTTGGGGCTTTAGAGATGGGGTGACAGTTTAATAGGTAATTTGAATGCCAGGAGAAAGACAAAAGCCAAAAGAGCCAGCACCTCCCTCCCTGGCTAGGGACCTTTGTCCCGGAAGGCACCGACCACGTTTCAGCTGGAGAAGTCTGAGAGAAGCCTGCCCTTCCTGCCTTCCCTCTTCCAACGGCGGCAAAACTACTGAGATCAGCAGCAGACATTTGCTGGCAAGTCTCAATGTTTGCTAGAAAAATCTATTTTGTGAACGAGCAAATAGGTCTCACAGTGCTGCTCTGAACAGAGGCCGTGGCCCAGAGACTCCTCAGCAGCCTGCTGTCTCACCGCTCGGAGACATCGCATGTATCGCGCTTCCTCATTCTACAGGTGAAAAAGATGAAGATGCCTCCTACGCCCCTTGGAAGTTCGCACCTCTTCAGCGAGGACTTGCCACAACAGCAACCCAACACATCACTGGCTTTTGCACCCACATTTCGCCACCGTCCACAGCACACAGGTACACATGCATTCTTGCAATAGCAAATGCTCCAGCCTGTGTAACCTGTTACCATATTACATTTTGCCTTTTTACAGGAATAACAAATTTCCTTAAACACTATCACCAGGTGATCAGTAGAAAGCGCAGACCTATACAGTATCATGGCAGACAACAGTTTCATTTTCAGAGGGGCTATTTTAGTAGTGCCAAACCTAGAGTTTGAATTCAAGTCTCCAGCTTTTTTAAACTTTTGGACAATCTTGACTTTTTTGCAGTTGCAGGTGTCTTGAAAATTAGTATATCAAAAATAAACTTTTGCAGAACATTTAGCTGCCATGCTTCCAAAATGTTGTCTTCCCCTCCCACCCCCCACGTAAGGTTGTATTTTTGCAGTCATGTGCTTTAATAATGCTTCTTTTGCGGAGAGGAAACAATGCAAAAACTAGAGAGGGAGAAGGGGTTCCCCAGCACATGCAAACTCTTTCAACACCAGCAGACAAATCCAAATTATTTTTTTTTTCAAACACATTTAGATGCACAGCACCAGATTCGCCTTTGCTCCAAACTTTCTTGGCTATATTTAACATCAAACAGTTCTGTTAGCATTTGCCGATTTACCTGGTTGCTAGAAAATTAGCTCTTCCATTCCCATTCTACACTTCATGTAGTTCCTTCTCTGGACCAGCACTTCGCATCCTTCCCTCTTCCCACCCCAGCTGTTTCCAACCCGAGCAGCCAGCCTTACTGAGGAGATACGCACGCAGCCCCGCAGCAGGCAGAACCCTGCTCGATTCACTCACTGACCTACACCAGCTGCGCAGGTACCCGGGTCTCTTTGGAAAACCACCTCTGCCCCAAAGGGTCGCGTGATCATTGCCGCTGAGACCATGCAGCTCGCTTCTTTCCAAAACCATCAGCCTGACGAGGGAGAGGGAGAAGTAATCTTGTGCTATTTTTATACCTACCCAGAAGTACGAGCAATTTAACCTCTCTCTAATCTGCACTTTGCCTGTGGCCACAGGGCTGGGTTTTGCTTTCAAACCTTTAGGCAACATCCGGTGCTACGCTTGGCCACAGACGCACACGTAACCTGAGCGCTGCTCACATTCAAGGCAAGACTAAAAACAGCTGGATGTAGCCTTAGAAACTGTTTCAGAGAAAAAAAAAAAACAAACACACAACCCCTTCCACCTCTTCTTCATCATACAGAGTATTACACACACTGCTTTTTTTTTAAAAGCACTTCTGCTCCCTTTTGATGAGCTTTTGTAAAACAGTTTCATTTCTTACACAGCAGCTCTGCCCAAAGGAACGTAGCATTTTAAGCATTAGCCTTCCATGTGCCAGCTTTCATGTAAATTCGCTTTGCCTGCATTTTTCAGGCTCTTTGCTGGGAGATTTAACTTTGCTTTTCAATTTTCCAAAGGGTCTGCAGTTTGCTTACTCAGCTCGCTCCAATGACAATGCAAGGATATCACAACCCTGCATGTCAAGATCACCAAAACTGACATCACCCAACATTAAGAGACTCGTGTCTCTCTTCCTTCTGCAATTTGAAGCAATTAATGCTCTACAGTCTGGTGAATCCCAAAAGCTACCTCCAAAATTAAGTTAGGGTTTTCTGGCAGTCTTGTTCTCAGTTTGGGCTCTCTGATCCCTCCTAGAATTTAACTGGGAATTCGGGTCTCCACAAAAAGCCTTAAGTTTACTCAGTCCCAGTACTATTTTAAATGCCTTGATGTTTCTTCCCCTCTCCTTTTTCAGTCTTCTGTGAAACATCTTCTAAACCATTTCCTTCTTCCAGGATTGCAATATTTTTCAAATTTCTGCAGTGATGTGATAATTCACTTGTTTCTGCTCACCCGTCCCACAGGCTACCCTCTGAATCTTTATTGCCAAGACCCAGCAATATTATTTAAGAAACCATCTTGCTTTCATTAGCCCAGCTCACCTTCAAAAGACAATTCCTGTCTGAATCTCTTTTAAACCTCCACTGCATCTGTAGACAGTTTTGGCCATATTAGACTAATGCATCCTCCAGGTACTATCTTTGCTTTTATTCTTTTCTGTGTGCACATTTCCATATCTACTTGCAGTATGTATTATTTCACAATTAGTGAGAATTTGAGTGGAAGCTTATCAACATTATAAATCTAAAATAGCGATTAGCAAAACTGACAGGAAAAGGCTTGCAAAAGAAAAAGGCAGATCTGTCTCAGATACAGAAAACAGGCACTGACAGCTTAACATCAACTGAAATTACTTCAGTGGGTATTAACTTAAGAAAGACTTTTAGCTGCCAAGACAACCTTGGGATGGGGGATTACAGACAGTGTAACACCCTTCTGTATAACGCTTAGCATAACCAGGTCCTAATTCAGGATTGCAGGATAATTCAGGTTGGAAGGGGCCTCAGGAGGTCTCCAGTCCAACCCCTGCTCAAAGCAGGGTCAGCTCTGAGCTCAGAGCAGGTCGCTCAGGGCTTTATACAGCCATGTCTTGAACACCTCCACAGACAGAGCCTGCCCAGCCACCCCGCGAGCCTCTTCCACTGCTTGGCTGGCCTCACGGTGAGAAACAAAGCAGCATCTCTACACACTGCTTCAATCCAAGTACATTTGATGGAAGAATTTCAGTCAGATTTAATTTTGTCATTTAATTCAAATCTAGATCTAGGCAACTGAATATAGCAACTGTAATTAGTATACCATGTGGTCACGCTACTAGCATTTCTTTGAGCCCTATGGATGATACAAACATGACCCTGCTGAAAAATGCGTCCACTGCTATCCTGGTCATCTCATAATGAACACAGTTACACGTTCAAGTATTACAGGTTTAGTTTCAGATGTTCAAAACTCAAGTCAATCACCACATACCTGACTGTCAGCTCAGCACAAGGTCTGTAATACATACAACACAATACAATGCTCAGAAAATGAGAAAACAGTTACTAACTAACCCCCCCTTTAAACAACAACAACAAAAAAAAACCCCAAAACATGACACAAACTAAGCTTTCAGTGTCCCTGAAGTTAATCTAAAAGGGCAGCAGTCCAATGCAGCATAGAAACAAGACCCTGCCTACAGTAACTGCAGTCACTGGGAGACTGGAAGGACAACAGGTCTTACGCTGGCATGTTTACTAGGAAGAGCTACTTCTTTAGATGGAAGTAGATGCTAGATTTCATGAACAGGCAGAATCCTGGAAGACCTAATCCTAAGAGTCCTGACGGGCAAAAAACTCTCAGATTTTGCTTTAGCCCCTGGAGCCATTACAACTTTCTTTAATTTGCAGATTATATATCCCATTTGCATGGCAGTTTCAGCATGCAGACATTCCAATGGCTCTTACTACAAGACAGTGCCTCCTACACCTGTGTGGCTACCGAACTGCAGAAGGGAGGAAGGCTTCCAACACATTGCTCTAGTAGCACATATTGCACACACCTGCAAGAAGCACTTACTGCATGTTGTACATTACCCTTGGTCTTTAGTGCTAAGAAAATACTAAAGCTCCTCTATGCATACACATATTGACTGAATCAAGACTAAGAGCTAAGTGTATCAGAAGCGACGTCAGTCTCTAAAGTGACCGTGCCACCATCTGATTTTTATCAACAACAAGAGAGAGAAACCAAGTAAGTACCAGTCAGTCAACCCAGATGTTCAGTGATACACTGCAAAAAGCATTCAAATACAGAGCAGCAGCACAAAGTTTTCTGGTGGAGATTTTCTGTTTGTTTGTTTTTTAACTCTAATGAAAATGAATATTACTAGGAAGATACAAATTAATGGATACAGGGAAATTAACCCGAGAAATATGTTCAAAGGGAAACATTTCAGATCAATGGCATCAAAGAAAACTAAGATAAGCTGCAAGTGAATGAACATACAGGTTTACACTGACATCTGGTAGAAAATTTTCTGGAGGATGCTTAAAAAACAAAAAGCTTCTGTCAGCTGCCCACAACTTGGACTGTTCCTAGAATGCATCTACACTGCATTAATAAAACCTCAGTATCTCAAAGTAAATCTTGCATCCTGTTTGATCTTAGCAGCTCTCTTCAGAGAGCAGTATCAGTGGCTCAGCTAAATGATAACTAGAGAAGAATACATGCCCAGACCTGCTAGCACTGAGGAGAGGGTGGGTCTAAAACTTAGATCAGTGTAAAAGGCAAAAACAGAATCAAAGAACTTCCCCGTTCTGAAGACAAAATCTTGTTTATCTGGCAATGATTTGCAAAACTGGTCTCTTGAGGGGAAACCAAAGGCCTCTTGTGATTTAAGTACTTCATGTGGTATTTATCCATCCTGTCCCCCAAAATTACTACCCTACAAGAGGGACAGCAGAATATGATATGCAATAAACTGAAGCACTTGGTACACTTCTGACACAGTTGTCCCTGCCACAGAAGCAGGACAGAAATGGTAACTGAAGCCGTAGGTAGTAACCACATCAGTTATCATAGCTTAATTTTGCCACCACACCTTATCACAAGAGATGTAGAGCAGTACGTAACAGCAGAGACAACGAAGTTTTATTTGAGCTTTCTGCACCTTCACTTGCTGCTCCTAAGCAGAAATACAGAAAGAATTTCAAATTGAAAATACAATTTTTATTTCCTTTTATTTTTCAACAACTTCTGGAGAACCTAATTTCCCACTGAATTCTCACCTGGCAGCAAAGCAGTGTCTCCTGCAGCAAGAAACACCGACTGGTAAATGCATTCACGGGACAACATTCCAGCAGATCCACAAAAATGTAAAGTTAAAACCCCTCAGCACGTGCCTAGAACACAAACAGATGCCCCACTGTCTCTCTCCATCTCAGGCTCCTCTAATCTCTCACATTCAGTTTTTTCCCCCCACAGCAGAGTAACATTAGGAGAAGCAGACTGATGCTGAGAGGACCTGACAGCATCACAAAGGCTTGTTAGCATCTAGGCTGTACCAGGCTCCTTCCCCTGGACCACGGGGAGGAAACCCTTCCCTTACGAAATCCCAACAGGGCCTTTTCACCCTTCCACCTTTCCGCTCCACGTACCAGCATTATCAACCTCACGGCGCATCTTACGAGCCTTGATGTCACTGGCCACAAGTCCCCTCCGCATGGATGTAGCTGTGCCAGAGTACGTGGTGGCTCACAAGCATGGTGAGCTGCAATATATATATGGGCGGACTACCAGTGCAAACATTTTTACATCAAGTAATAGTGGATCACTGATACGGAGCAGGCAGGAGAAACTGAGTTTCCATGCCTTCTCTTTTTTAGTAGAAAGAGAGAGAAGTTGGAGGGAAAAACTGAGATGAACAGAGGAACGGAGGCAGTTTTGTTGCTTTTGCAAAAGCTGGAAGAGGGCAGCAGTGCCAAACAGACTGCATCAGCACCTCCTTCCTCCTGCAAGACTGACTGAAAGCCCCATATTACCTTTCCATATTAAGTTTTTTAAGCTTTTCTACCATTTTTTTGTGAAAAATTAAGCTTATCTGTTTATTAAAGCTGCAACCCATAAATCCTGCCTTTTTCTTGTGTAAGTTTGATAACACTTGTACATTGGTTATGTTCTTCCTTCATTGCGGTAGTATGTCAAGTGTGCCAAGAAGCTCATTCCTCTCAAGTAATAGGGAAAGTAAGAGATTTACAAAGCTAGCTCAGGCCAGGCCAGACCAGTATTTTCAGTCAAAATTATCAAATTTGCTGACACTTCCTTTTATGCTACCGATGTTATTTACACATGTTGTTTAGTATGTATGTATAGAGTCGTGGTTTGCATCCTGCATTAAACCATCAATTTCCAAATACCGTGTTTCTCTAAAGTACTATTGCAAACTCAGTACTGAAAAGTCAAGTTTCTGTCTAAGCAAAATTTTAAAGGTAAAGTGACATTGAGATTTGCATTTGAAAGCACTACAGAAAGAGCCTGGCAAGCCTTGTTTAAATGTTGGCAAAACAAGGTATCTGACTTTAAAAGTTTCGTACTATTTCACATTTCATATCTTCACAGTATCTTGAACAATCTTTTTCACTCAATTTCTGTACACTGCCTCCCTTCATGTAATTATTACCACAAATAAGAAGTTATCTATTAAACCTTGAACTGCTGTAATTATCACATATTAAAGTCTAAAGAGTAACATTTGGTATTCTTGACTTCTTTCAAATATAATTTCATAGCTGTAAATGCTAGCAGCCAAGACCATATATAAACACCCCACTCAATGCAGAGCACAAGCAACTCACGCAGACCTCATAACGATTCAGATTAAACCATCTTGGGTCTCCCAGAAAATTACAGATGGATCCTCCCTTAACATTATAACTGCCATGCCATAGGACATATAAGCAAAGGGGGGGGGG